TGGTTAACTACTACTAATATGCCATAGAACTGGAGAGTTGCCTACAACACTGCAAGATCAATAGCAGTATTTACCATGCATCATATTGATCTTCTATGAAGGAGTGGGTCGTATTTCATACTGCGTACATAGTGCAAAAAAAGTAGCATCAGTTCTCTACATGAATTAAGATGTAGACAAGAGGAGAAGAGCTTGGAAATGTAAAGGCACAACTGCATGAAGGGATACCATTATCTCATTGCCACAGTACTTCTTATACAAGGAGGGCTTCAGACATCCCTGTGCTGTAGGCTTAGTGTCCCAAAGGCAAAGTGAGAATTCTAACAACTTTGGCTTTGTTTTACTTGCTAGTTTCTGCTCCTCCTTACATGAGCTCAGCCCCGTAATTTTAGCCATGCCCTAGCTGCAGCTTGCAAAGTGGTAAAATTTGGGTCTGATGGCAGGTTTTTTTCTCCTGGTTGCTTCAGAGACGTGGAAGCCCTTCCTAGAGTTTTCTAAAGGAAGACGAAGGCCACCAAGACCAGTGTAAAGGTCTTGTTCTAAAATAGCAACTAGAGGGGCAGAGTGGGAGTCTCTTGGCACAGCAGCAGTTCCCTTGTTGAGAGCTTAATTCCTGTCAAAAATTGCTCCCTTCAGAGCAATGAACCTCAGGGCTGCCCCTCACGTGCAGGTATTGTAATGTGGCAGGCTCTGAAGCAGGGGAGGACCTTCTCCTTGCAAACGGAGCTATTCATCTGTGTTGAATTACATTTGAAAAAAAAAAAGAGCTGAGAGCTGCCTTCTTGACCTTGGTATCCTCTCCTTGCAGGCAGAAAACGCAGGCAAAGCCTAGCAGCCTCCTTTCAGTAGGACAGATTGCTTGAGCCTTGCGCAGTCAGAGGTGAGGCCACTGAGAAGGTTCTCCCAGGAGGTGGATGTCATGTCCAGAGCTGCCCACAAGCTAAAGACCAACCAAAGAGCCCCGTGCTGCACAAATTTAGTTACAGCCAGTGTTAAAAGGAGATCTGCTGTGATCTACAGATTGTGGCCATGTTGTGGATGTTGTAGCCCAGAGCAGTGCGTTTTCCCCACCTGCTAGTTTGCAGACTGCAGCTGTGAAGAAGCAGCGTGGTGCGGCAAAAACTCTATTGGATGTACAATAAAATTAAATCTTCTGGAGCAGGTCTCTAAATGTCTTTTTTACTGAAAGCATGGTTTGATGATGCTCTTCAGCCGTTAATTCTGCTCCTGCTGGCTCTTAGACTTCTTTGATGTACTGGCTGTTCCAACCTGTGCTTCTTTCTGAGCTTGTATGGCTCAGAGAAATTCTTCAGGACTTGCAGAGCTTTATCCATTAGTAACAGAATTCTTCTGCTTAGCATGCTTACAGTTCTACATGTTCTATACACATTGTATATATAAAATATATGCATTAGTAGTAGGAAATAGAGATTATTCATCCAGCCTGAAAGTGTAAAAGCATGGTGCTTTATTGCAGCAAGGCTCTCAACTGTGTGCTGGTAGTCATTGAAGAACTGCAAATACTGGCAACTATGTTCAAGACTGTGAGTGCTTAGAGTACCCCTGGAGTGCTCTGAACTTGCCTGACATGTCTGTGTGGATGGCATAAATATCATGTCTTGTATGAAATGTCTCTCTTCTTCCAGGTGAAGCACTGAATCTTTTCCTGATGCTGCCAAACAAAAGCAGAGACTTGTCATATGACATCAAAGAAAAACTCATCTCTTAAGTTCAGAAAGAAAATGCGAATTGTGGCATGTGGCAGCTTTCTCTTGCTCCTTGGTGGATGTTGCCAGTCCATCTTCAGGATCATGATGTGGCTTGGGATTTAGGAAGAATAAATTCTGGTCATCTTCGCAGCTCCATCACAGAAGTACTGAGATGGTGCTGTCTGTCTCTTCACTTGAACTTTTTCTTTTTCCATAGCTTTTGCTTTCTCTTCTTGTTTGTTGGGAGCTCATGTCAGTGGTGTGGCTATAGCTCAGACTGGATGTGTGTTAGAAATGTTGTACAAGGACTGTGGATTCCATTGTTTCTGAGCTCTGAACCACTGGGGGCTGCTCCACAGCTAGGTAAAAGAAAAATGAGTGACAGCAGCTGAGCACGTACACGCATCTGTAATTGTGGCCCCAACTACAGGTAGAAGATAGAAAGAGATAAAAGGCAAAACGCATATTTTTCTCAGACTTATTGCAGCAAAGGACTACCACCCCTGCTTTTTTCTACAGGAAGCAACCGTAGCGCTACCATCCAGCTGAAGATCACAGAGACATCAAGGATGCTTTTATGATTTTTAGGATGATTAGAAGCAGATCTCTCGTCTATGAAATATTTTCAAAGGGCTTTCTTAAACATAGCAAACTCTTCTACATTCTCATTTTCTTCTGCATCTCAGGATAGTTCTCCTTGGTTGAGTTTAGGGAGCTCCTGTCTTTCTTTTATCTGTCATATTTGTAGTATTCCTAAGGAAAAGTATTATTCCTTCCAGTGATGTATAGCAGGTGGAAAGGCTTAGCAGAGATTTTTAGAAGAGATTGCATATATGTGAAGCATGACATACAGACTTCAGGTGTCTCCATCTCATGTGAAGTTGGTATCCCAGCAGGAAAAATTTTACTTCTGTCTTCTAGTTTACAGCATGAAAAGCAGTAGAGTTGTACTGCAGCATTGTTCAGGAGCTAACCCTGGGGAAAGGAGTCAGGCTGGTACTCTGATTTATCAGGAAGAATTGCTGGCTTGCAGGTAACAGTGGTCTAAGTTCTGATTTTGTCAAAGATGCAGACAAAGTGGCCTTGAAGCAGAATGTCATCCATGTTAAAATTTCATTAAAATATGAAAGCACAAAAACAGTAAGAAGTCTTTAGTGGCGCTGCAGGCTCTTCTGTGTGCAAACGTGAGAGATACTCTGAAAGTAGCCAGCTTCCTGGGTTCTTGCTCAGTTCGGGGCAGGTGGTGGAAAAATCAAATGCAGGATACTCTTTGCTAATAAACATGCATAGTTCATTGATTTCAGCAAAAAATCAGCAAGAGCTGAACATGGGATGGTACTACTCATGACTGCAGAGTTTTTGTTACAGCTGAAGAAGTGAAAAAAGTTGGATCATAAAACAACAGTAATTGATAAAACTATTCATTGGATCTAGTGTACAGCTTAATACACAGTACCATGGAAACTGTTATTCCAACTGTGAGAGGCTGGTAAATGCGCAATACTGTTTTTACAGGTAAGTAACTAAGGTACACAGATAAAAAGAGAAAGGAACAGTATGAAACAAACAAGACCTGCCTGACATCTGTCTCTCAGGCATTTTATTTGGTTGCTGGCTGTTCTCCATGCTGCTGCATCTTCATACTGACAACCCTTGATATCTCATTGCCTTTCTTTAATCCACATCCTTTTTCTCTTCATCATAGAGTTGGACAAGGAAAAGCACATACATAGATTGCTCGATAAGTAATGCCTCCTATTTATTTGCATGGAAACTACAAAAGATACAAAGAGCATAATAATACTATTTGATAGAGCAAATTCTCAGCTACAAAGCACTATTTTTTGACATTGCCACCACCATTAGCTATTCATTTTTGCCAGTACAAACAAGAACAAGAGTCTGCATGCTGTGTTCCTCAAAACCTGCACCAGTAGAATTGACCCACTGTCACTTTCACCACTGCTGAAATGCCACCCACCACCTCACTGTGCTCACATCCACTGATTGGTCTCCATAAAAGTTCAGCAAGTGTCAGCGAGTGTCCTTAGGTGCTATTTTTTCCACATGGAGGAATTCAGTGGCATACCTTTGCTTCATATGCACTTTCATGTCAGACTTTCTGTCAGACAGCCACTCCGCTGCCATCTGTCACACAGCAACAACATGTAATGGAATATTGGTGGGAAAGTTCACCTTCTACTGCTGTACCACCACCATCTGCTTCTGTTGTAGTGAGCCAGCATCGTAACATAGGAGGCGTTGCTTTCAGGGGAGCTCTCATAAATGTGCATTTGCTATATGGTTAGAGATTCTAAGCTTGTAGCTGCTGTCTGTTCTATCTGGCTTGGATGGGCAGCTGATGGAGTGTGTCAGAACTGGGCTGCAAAGCAATACCATGAGAACTTTTTCATCCTTGAAAGTATCATAGGGCAGCAGTTGATATAGAAATGAAGAAAATGCGACTTGAGGCAGCCCCAAGGAGCTCCCCTTCCTTAGAGGATGCAGTGGAAATAGACCTTTGCTGAACAGGCTGCAGGAGTGTAGCTGGATGGCCTTCAGTCCAGAGGCACTGAAGAATGCAGGTAGCAAGTCGTGAGTAATCCCTCTTCTTCTTTTGCCAGTGGTGTGAGAGCTTGTTATGCTCTGTGAATTTGTAGGTAAACATTAGCTAAATTTGGGTATGGGGGCTGGCAAGGACTGAGGGCCTTGCTGCTCAGGATTAGCATATGGGCTGCTGGGGCACCTTGGCCGATAGTGCTGTGCATTCCCTGCTGCAGTTTTGCTTGGCTTTATGGCTGTTTGCCAGTTCTAAGGACATGCTGATAAAATGTCTTCTTGCCTGCAGCATGCCAGGCAGAAAGGGATTAGTAAAGAAAGCATTTTGCATTAACAAGGGATTGACTTCCAAGGAATTCAGAGATGTGGCATGCAGTTATAATTCAAAAAGAATAGCAGGTTGCATCATTAGCTACTGTATATTGTCATCGGTCCAGCTTATGCTGTGTAAGGACCCAGCATACTGTCTTAACCCTCAATTGATTTTGCTTTGCAGCTTGTGCAATGTGTAGAAGTGTTGTTCTCAAGCTCTGAGTGAACATCAGCCCACTTGAGCCTTCACCAAATATGCAGCAGTGTTTCTCTTTCAGCTTCCATCTCTTCCTACGTGTTACCCTCTGTCCAGCCCTCGGGAGGAGCAGTGGTGTACAGTGGTGTGTAGTCCACCAGAGGGTGGACTATATTGCTCTTCATGGAGCCTCCTGTTTCATAATTTTTTTTTTTTTTTTCCAGAGGGACGGATGCTCATTCAGGACATCCCTTCCATCCCCAGCAGAGGGCACTTGGAGAGCACGTCTGATTTGGTTGTGGACTCCACCTACTACAGCAGTTTTTACCAGCCATCCCTGTATCCTTACTATAACAACCTGTACAACTACTCCCAGTACCAAATGGCAGTGGCAAGTGAGCCTTCCTCAAGTGAGACAGGGGGTACGTTTGTAGGGTCAGCCATGAAAAACAGCCTTCGAAGCCTCCCAGCAACATACGTGTCAAGCCAGTCAGGAAAACAATGGCAGGTACGATGCTATGGAGGTGTTGTGTGGAGGAGTGAAGTGGATGATGATCTGATACTGACTTTGTGTGTTTAGTTTAATGGCAGTGCAAAACAGAAACAAGATTATGGGATGGGATTGGGACCCTCTGTAAGAAAGTTAGCCAAAATAGATGGGTTTGATGAAGTACAATGTAAGGCTTAGACAGAACACTGCAGACACAGGTTAAAGGCACCCTGTTGATTTTGTCTTATGTACACCATAGTAGATGATGGGCTGCTTTCAAAAAACAAAAAAAACAATTGCAGAATTACCCATCATTGCATCCCAGGAGATTCAACTGTCATTTCTGAGAGGCTTTGCTCTTCAGCAACCTCTTTTTTAATCTTTCAGGTTTCATATCCAGAACACTGAAGTAATTCATCCCATCAAGTTCAAGAGATCATGATATTCTGCAGTACTGGTGGCTGTCATTTGGATCTGGCATGAACTGTTGTTAATGGTGTATGCTGTCAGTGTCCTCTCTAAGGCTTGGGATTTCAGCTTTGATAGATCAAGTCACAGGCTGTATCTGATAGATTAGCACCAGAGCTTTTTATACCAGTTCAGAGTTCTTAGTGTATATAAGTTCAAGTAAGGTCTCTCTCTCTAGAATTTGATAATTATAGCATCCCACTCAGTACTTGTATAAGACTGAGATAAAGATGAAATTACCAAAGCATGGGATTCTTGTTAGAGTAGTTGAAGTCATTCCTGTGACCATGAGTGCTTTGTTTGGCCTTGGGCTGCAATTAGGCATTTTCTGTCTCAAATTCAACTCTGGAAGCTTCATCCTCTGTGTATGTCCATGTCCCTTAACTGAGAACAGGAAAAGGGAGACATCTCCTGCAGAAAGCAGGCACTGAAGAGGTACAGCTGGCATTCTGCGAGGGCTCTGCTGTAAAACCTCTCTACAAAGTAGAATGAAACATCTTGTTTCTGAAGGGAATAGTTGGTATTCCCCTTTGGTGACCAGAGTTGCTCTAGCAATTCAAAGGACATTTTAGCTTCCAATATTGAGAAGCTGGAGCTGAGACTAGGGTTTAATTACAATTACCAGGTCACTTACCCTAAGTCAGGCTTTCTCAGCATTGGACGCCTTTAATTTCCTGAAAAGGAGGAATCTCCTGGGGCAGCAGCTGATAGGGCCATGAATTTTGAGATCTTGACTTTACAGCAGACTGCATTTAATGTTATTTCATGTTCCTTTCCATTTAGTATTATTTCATGTCCTCTTCTCAACATGAATCCAGTTGTGTGGGGAGAAGACATATCTCCATTCCTTCAGCTGTGTTAGCCCACACTGTAAGAGCTTTCTTTTTTCAGTGCATTGATTGTCTTCACCACAGTGACCTTCACATCTTTTCAGTAAGATTAATCAGTAGCAGCCTCTGTAGTTGCTGAATTTGGTCACCAGACCAAGGGGAAAATGAGTCAAAGCAATAGGATTCTGTGGGTGGTGATGAGGCACGCTGGCAGTCCTTATTTAGGTTTAATTCTGATTATGGTGTTCTGGCATTGACCCTGCACACTGGAACACAGTAATTCAGATAAGAAAGTTATTTCTCTGGAGCTTTTACATGATGTTATTGTAGGAAGAGCCTGGTGCTGATGCTTGAAGACACTGTTGCTACACAAATGAGGGGCTGTTTTGGTGTATTTCTGTGTGGTGAAAGTAAAGCTGTTGCAGGCTTAGTGCCTTGCTTCACAAGTCTTCCAAGCAATAGAAGAGTGTGTGCTTTTGCTTGATTAGCAAAAACAGAAGTAAATGCTATGTACTGACATGCTAGACAGTGATCAGAACCCATGAGGATGTGTTCTTACGTGTTCAGTGTAGGATTGAAGGTGGTGTCCTGTCAATTCTGTTGACTTAATCTGAAGATAAAGCATTTGTGTAAGTCTCGGCCTAGAGTCCTTCAACTTACTGTGAGCCTGCCTGTTTCTTGACACCCACCTAACGTTTGACACCTACCATTAGCTTTTAATGTGACTGTGATGCGCTGTAGCAGGTTGCCTAGAAGGGTGGTTGGTGTCCCGTCCCTGGAGACTTTCAAGATGAAGCTGGATCAGGCCCTGGGTAACCCCATCTGGCTGTGGTTGTCTCTGTTCATTGCAGGGGAGTTGGACTAGATGACCTGAAGAGGTCCCTTTCAATGCTATGGATTCTATCATTCTGTGATTCTGTGAACTTACGAATCAAAAACAACCTGTTTTCTGATTCTATGATTTTGTGACTGAGTATCATAGACATTTTATGCGAATAGCTGCATTTGTTCTTGAGGATACCCACTAAAGAAATAAATGCAATTGCCTACTTTCCATGCATTTTACTCTCACCTTGCAAAATCTGTAGCTAACTTGCACTTGGGTCCCATTCCAGTTAGAGGCATGTGAAGGAGATGATACAGGAAAAATGTGATTGTTGTTGGAGACAACTGATTTTCTTCCACCAGCAGGCTCAAATCCTCACGTGCTTATTTCCAGCTTTCCAGCTTGCAGGAGAAATCATGTTTTACATGATTTATATAAATTTACTGTAATCTCATCCTTGATTTGAATTTGTTCTAGGGCAGTGTTATGGGATTCCTTACACTGTTGTGATAACAAGTCTGTGCAGAGGGTCTAGAGGTAAGACTTAATGCCTGCAGCAGTAACATCTCCTCAACTTCTAAATGGCCTGAAACCAGAACCCACGTCTGCTGCTCAGTAGCACTAGGTCTAGTTCAGGGCCAGTGTTCTGCCTCTTACATGATATTTCCCAGAGCCTGATCTGCAAGAAAGATTGTCATTGCTGGGAGAGTTACGAATCACAGGATTTGCATAGCATTATGCTAGCATAGCACTGCACAAATAATTATTAAAAGTTTTGCAGTGAGTGCTAGACTACTAATAGTTGACGACAGCGGGTGTGGCAGTGCTGAAATTGGAAACTCTGTGGGGTCCTAAATACATTTTGTTGTAAGAATGAGATCTCAGCTGCTAAATATGGTTAAACTAGCAAAGGAAGATCAGTGAGGAGTTTCAGGGAGTTTTAAAGCACAATCTGTGAGAAGAAAGGAACTTGTTTACACTTTGAAGGGGCTTGCTGGCAGCCTTACGCATGCTGCTTCTCTGTAGAGAAAACACATAGCTGTCTATATGAGCACTTTTCCTGGACTGCTTGTACTGATTGGTTTGTTTTGGGATAGAAAACTTTTCTTAACCTGTTCCAGTTATGGGTCTGCTTGTGTGGTTGGTGGTGCTGACTGCTCTGGTTAGGGTTCTTGTTTTTTCCTCCTTTAACCAAATAGTAGCTGTACAGTGCCTGCCATGCAGTCTACTGGGCTGTAGTAGATGTGTATGGGCTGCATGATGGAAGGCTCAGGCAGTATGGACAAGACTCCCACCACGTGAGCTGGCAGATGCTCACTTGTCCTGGAATAGCTGCAGCTGCAAGGGGAATTGTGTACTTAAAATAATGTAACTTCTGGGTGCAGGCAGGCCTTGAGCAGCCTGGCTGTCTGCTGTTGGAGAATTTAAGGAGCAAGGGACAGAAGTCAGGGAGGAAACATGTGAGCGTGTGTGGGAAGGGATGGGGATTAATGCATCATTGAGCCTTGGGAAATAAACTGAATCACTGAATCTTTAATGTAGATTAATGTCAAATTTCATTAGTCTTTGTTCTTTGCAGAGAGGCTCGTGTACTTCCGTGGATTTGCAGAGATGTACATTTTTGAGATATTTCTGTGTGGGTTTTATTCATTTGTATATAATCACGCCGGAAGTTGTATCCATTGTGTTTTGTTAAACGTAACGAAGCTGTAACCCTTCAGTCAGGTTCTGCTGCTTCTCCCAGCTCTAGAGCAAGTGATCGGGTATGCTTGATGTTGCATCTTAAGCAAACACAGGCTTAAATGTGAAAGGAAGTACAGCAGATGTGGTTACTATGTGTCTCCTTTCCCTCTCCTTCTCTGTGGGCAACTGGACCCTGCCGCGTGTCTCTAATTATTGTTCATTACCACGGGAATTTATGCGCATTCAGTCCAATTAAATTAAACAAGTTAAATGAGTTCCCTAACATGAGTATCACAAGTCAATGTATTGATACGCAGTAGAAGCTGACGCTTCTGCACTCATCTGCTGGGACTGTAACTGGAAAAAGCTGAGGGGCTCCAGCCTGTTTTTTAACCACAGAAACACAACAAAAACCTGGATGGCAAAATCCTAATCTAACCAGATTTAAGTTCTCTAGGGTGGCAGTGACTCTGGTGGCATGTGATCCACAATGTAAGGATAATTGTGACTCCTTGTGCAGTGGTGTCCCCCTAAGAACTGTTGAAACCTTGCTAGTTCTCAAGATCTGTAAGGTGCTGAGTGTGCCCCCACACCTGGCACCAACGCAGGACTTTCTTGTGTTACCCTGGTAGTTACTCCTGTTGTTCCTACTTAGGGCAAGGCTTAAGGTTGGCCAAAAGGTTTTGGACAAATCTCAGAATTTAATGTAGCTTGTTTAATGCTGAAGGCTTTTGTTTGGTTTCTTGATCTTTCTTTTTTTCTTTTTTTTTTTTTTTTTTTTTGTCTTTTTTTAATGCACTTTGTTTTCATTTCCAGAACCACTGTTCTTTAATTCTTTCTTTAAAACAGTTCAGAGGAAAACTATGAAAAACACATTGAGAGTCACACTGAGAAATTTGAATACATTTTCTAATATTATTACTATTTGGAAGTGAAATAATTTACATGGCTGAATTAAAGAACAGTTTTTAAGGATTTCTTAAGAAGACATGCAAAACTCTCTTTTGCTGAGTCCGAAGAAAAATGTCTGTGGCAGGGCAACTAGCAATCTGAACTCCAATGGTAGCTACTTCTCTTGTAAAGAGGATTGCTCTTTTTGGCTTCCACAACCTGTTTCTGGCTCAGTTTTTCCCTCCAGTAAGCCTGGCCTTCTTAAAGAACTCTGCAGAAAAACTCCAGAAATACATGTGAAATGTGTAAATATGTTTTTTTGTGCATGTGTGCATACATACACATTGCACAAGTCACTAGTCACAATCCTGGTTTTATGCATAAGCAGTGTATTATGTACTGTATTCATAACATACCCTTCACAGTATAGATTTATGCTAAAAGTATCCTAATGTTTCTGACAGCTCATGTGTGACATGAATGTAATCCATATTTCTTGGAGGAGCTAATCTAAGCAGTTTGTTTTCCAATACTGCTGATAGGGCTATATCTCTAGATGTCACAGCAGTTGAGATTCTGATGGTAACATATTGTTTATGGGTCACTGCCTTTGTCTCAAAGAATAGGTTGGAACAGAAATAGCAAAGGTTAATTAGGTTTGTCTATCAAGGAGGGACAGATATAGATGTCTCTTGTGTTTTCTATGCTAGAATCAAAGGAACTCGGGATAGAGTGTCGTAGTCTGTTTTTCCTCACACTGTAAAATGTGCTTAGTTGGTTTTATGAATGAAACAAAAACACCTGGAGCAGTCTGAGTACAGCCATGTTTGCAAGGGTCAGCTCATGGGCAGTAGCATTACAGGTGAGAAAACAGTGGCACTCTGCTTCGCAGCTTGGGAAACAGAGGCACAGAACTGTTGTCCTGCCCAAGGTCACACAGCCAGCAAGTGATGGAACAGAAGTCCTTAGCATCTGGCTTTCTGCTCCGCTCCCCAGCAGCTATCTTCTCACCTCACAGTAAAAATTACCTTGTGAATCTGTTTACAAATAACTTGAAATAAATGCAGCATGCGATTCTGTGCCCCACAAAATTGTCTTTAATTTTAAGACCAAGGAGGAGATCATGCAAACTCTTAACAGAGTTCCTGTGGCGTTTCATTAATTTTTGTTTTTGTTCTAACTTAGCTGTTGATGAGTCATGGGTGATGCAGATGCCAGAAAAGCATGGGCCAACTTATTTTATAGAGCTCTCCCAAATCATAGTAGTAGACTGTGACCTCTTGTTGTTCTGAATACTTTGCGCTGTTTATCACCCAGGTTTAGCGTCTGTGACTTCATACTTTTTCATCTTGAGAATAATGCATGTAGTCAGGATCAGTTGAAGATATTCGTATCGTACTAGGTGTATCACTGGCTTGCCTGCAAGGCGGTTGCAGCTGCCACAAATAAAGAATTTATTTCACAAATAAATAATTGGCCATAGGTTGATCTGTCTGGAATCAGTCATCTGGGAAGAGTAGGCCATTTTCTTGCTGCCAAGGCTGGGAGAAGGAGCAAGCCAACAGCTGTGCCTGCCTCACCTCTTCTCTTTCTGTTTACCACCATCTTTGCTTATTTCTTGTGGTTATTCCTCCACAAGGAATATGTTCAGAGGTTGTGCAGATGCTGCCAGGAATCTGGGAGGAGCACCCTGCTCTCCCTCCAGCTATTCAGCAGATTTTTTTTGCAGGGCTCTCTGGAATGTTGTGAACCAATGCAGGGGCATCCTGTTTGTGCTCCTCAGGCTTCTGATACATGCTGTATCACCCTTGGACACTGCTGTAGAGCTGTGCTGGCTGTATAGTTATGCTTCTAGTGGACAAATTGCTGCTTCTTGTTTCCCCGTACTGATTCTGCAAGCAGACAGAGAAGGAATTTCCAATGTGCACATTCTTTTTATAAGCCCTCTTTATTTGTTCATAGGTCATAAGTGTATCACTGCTGCTTGCATATGTCCATTAATAAGTTACTGAAAGTACACTGTGTTGTACTATTCAAGGGAACTTGTAAATGCTGGTTGATCCAGGTGTGCTTCTCAGAGGACTTGTGTCTCTCCCTGAAGTCAGTGAGGTGAATCAGCTCTTCATCTTGTGGCTGGGGCAAGGCATGAGTGGTGTGGTGCTGGAGGGAAGTGCTATGTAGAGGAGGTAGGCAAGGTTTCCACCCACCAGGCTGCCCAGGGCCCCATCCAACCTGGCCTCAAACTCCTCCAGGGATGAGACAGGGACGGGCAATGTGTTCCAGTGCCCCACCACCCCCAGTGAAAAATTCCTTCCTAATCTCTATTCTAAATCTCATCTCTTTTAGTTTAGCACCATTCCCTCTGACCCTATCACTGTCAGACTGTGTAAAATGTCAGTGTCCGTTCTTTTTAAGCTCCCTTCAAGTATTGGAAGGCTGCAATAAAGAGAAAGCTTGAGCATTCTCCAGGCTGAACAAGCCCAGCTCTGTCAGCCTGTCTTTATAGGAGAGGTGCTCCAGCCCTCTGATCATCTTTGTGAGCTTCTTCTGAACCCAGTTCAACAGCTCTGTGTCATTCTTGTGCCTCTGACCTGGATGCAGTTCTACAAGTTGTGCCTCATGAGGGCAGAGATGAGGGAGAGAGAATAGTAGTACTGTGAGATCAGACACCGTGGGCAGCCATGGGTGTAACTGCCAGGCTTGTCAGAGGAGAGGAGGGAGTGGGAGGACATGAAGTTGCTTGATGAAAGGTACCTGCTTGGAAGGCAGAGTGTGCAGAATTTGTGTCACATCCAGAAACACCCCTTGTTACTGTGGAGAGTAGCTTATGGTAGGATGGATCAGAGTGGTTCATGGGACCATCCAAGCCCTTGCCTGTTTTGACCTCATGGGAGGCAGTGATGAAGTCAGCAGGAGATGCCAGAGGGCAAGGCATCTCCTTCTGTCATCCATGCATGACCTGGAACTGGAACCCTGATGTTTTTCCAGGAAATGACCTGTGGAGCAGCACCCATCACAGCACCCAGCTCCAGCCCTTGGTAGGCTGCACTGGCCTGAATTAAAAACAACCCACATAGCCACTGGCCTCCTCTGGTTCTTTTTTAACTCTCTTTCTGGCTGTAGCACTCAAAAAAAGTGCAAAGACTCTGCAGAGCTGCGGGAGTTAATACGGATCAAGTGCCCCTTCTCACTGGGTAATCATCTCCTAAACCCCTTTTTAATGCAGCGCTAAGGTCAAGAATTTTTATGGCTGGTTGTTTTTTTATTGTTACTGTAGAATAGGATTGCTAAGCACTATAAAAAGGAAACCTTATGGTTCAGATTTACTGTGGTGTGTATTCTAAACAGTTTAATAAAACAAAACGAAAAGCTTTTAGATTTTCTTCAGTGGTTAATACACAAGCATATTCTTTGCAGAGCCAAGCTTCTGACTGTCGGTCGGTCTGTGGTTCATAGACTTGGTGTGGGTAATAAGATTATAAAACATGTCTCTTGCTAGCCAGCTACCACACACTAATAATAATAGTAGTAATAATTCATTGAATCCAGAGATTTTAGGTGAGTTGTTTTTTAAGAAATGGAGAAAAAACTCTGAAAAAAAGGTTTGAAAGGAAACAGGTCATTGCATATGCTCTGCAGAAAATGCAAGCAAGAATGTGATGGTTTCTGTGCCAGGGAGCCATTCCTCCATTTTGTTACAGCTAACATACCACCATCTCTATCAGGTTACCTTTTTTTTTAACTGTATGTATGTAAACATGCAGGAGAGGGAGGTGAACATCTTGAGAATGGGATGCTGCCTACAGTCCTGCCCCAGCAAGGGCAGAAGGACTGTGTGTAGAAATGCAGCAGAGAGGACTTTGCCTTGCAGAGGTGACATCTTACAGCATAGTTGACATACTGTACTGTTGGCACTGCTACCTTTGTGCCTGATACAAAACTTCCCATCTGCCAGTTGTTCACTGGCCAGAAAACTTAGGGAGATATAATCAACTAGCATTAACTTTCCTCATGAAAATCATCATCTTGTGAAAAACTTGGTGCTTTTGGTTTCCTGAGCATTATATGGCCACAGAATCACAGAATGGCCAGGGTTGGAAGGGACCTCGAGGATCATGAATCTCCAACCCCCTTGCCATGATACATTGTAAAGTTTTGGAACAAATAATAGTAGATGGTAGGTCTTCTGCAAAACAGAAACTAAAAGCACTGCCGCCTCTCCATGAAGATGACTTTGAATCATTTCAGGGTGTTGGAGTAAGGTTTGTTTTCTTTGTGCCGCCAACTTGACTGCCTGATCTGGGAAGGATGAAGGTTTGTCTGGCCATTGTCAGACTCAGGTGACACAGCACAGTGGTTTGTGCTGTTACGGCTTTGTGACAGATGTACTCTGTAGGCTGCCCACCACTTGGTTGCACTGTGTAAGCAGAGAAGATAGTTCTTCGTCTCACTGAATTTTAAAGAAAACACTGTGGCTGCATGTGTATAGCGCTGTGATTCAGTTGGATGTGTCTTGCACAAGTCAGTCAGCAGAACTGTCTTAGCTGTCCTGTGGGCTCCTGGTAGAGAAGTGTCACTGGTCTGGGACGTCTCTGTCTCCTCAGGACTGTAAGGCTAGGTGGACTCCTGCCCTTCTTTGAACACTGGTCAGTGTGTGTAAATGAAGGGTTTGGAAAATTTCCTGTGGCCCTGTTAGTGGTATAAGTGGAGGGCTTGTGAGGAATCTCACTGTGATGTTATGTGTCCATGTGCCAGATGCAGCTTTAACTGAGGTAAGGTCTGCATGCTGGCTTTACTGCTGCTAGATTTCTTATAGGACTGGGTCATCTTCCCTGGAACTGGGTGGCACTGACACACAGCAGAGCTCTAAGGTCAGTGCATAGGGACTTGGCTTCTGCAGCCCCTGTGATTGCCTCCTTCAGAGATGTATGCCCATGGGGCAGAGGGTGTGGACACAACACTGAGGCTCAGCTTTCATGGGCAGCTGTTGCAATTCTGTCTCTACAGATGAAAGGGATGGAGAACCGCCACGCCATGAGCTCCCAGTACCGGATGTGCTCCTACTACCCACCCGCCTCATACCTGGGCCAGGGGGTTGGCAGTCCCACCTGCGTCACACAGATACTGGCCTCGGAGGACACACCCTCCTACTCAGAGTCGAAAGCGAGAGGTAGGTGGATCTGCTGGGGCTTCAGGTACCAGTTTGACCTGGCATAGGTATCCTCAAAATGTGGGTGGGTGGTGGGAAGGAAAGTAGTGTCAGACAGAAGGTGCCACAGAATCCTTAGGAGCTGATTTATTTGTGAATGATAGTGGTAAAGTGAAACTATTTCTGTATGGTGAGGCAAACTTGTATTTCAGAAGTCTTGTAGTGTAGAGCAGTTAGTTACACAGAATCACAGAATTGTAAGGGTTGGAAGGGACCTCCAGAGATCATCGAGTCCAACCCCCCTGCCAAAGCAGGTTCCCTACAGCAGGTCGCACAGGTAGGCATCCAGGCAGGTCTTGAACATCTCCAGAGAAGGAGACTCCACCACCTCCCTGGGCAGCCTGTTCCAGTGCTCCGTCACCTCACTGTAAAGAAGTTCTTGTGTACATTTGTGCAGAACTTCCTATGCTGCAGTTTCCTGCCGTTTCCCCTTGTCCTGTCTCCACTCACCACTGAAAAGAGTCCGGCCTCGCCATTCTGCCCCCCACACCTCAGATATTTATAGACCTGGATCAGGTCCCCTCTCAGTCTTCTTTTCTCAAGGCTGAACAGACCCAATTCACTCAGCCTTTCCTCATAGCAGAGATGCTCCAGGCCCTTCACCATCTTTGTGGCCCTCCGCTGGACTCTTTCCAAGAGATCCCTGTCTTTTTTGTACTGGGGAGCCCAGAACTGGACGCAATACTCCAGATGAGGCCTCACCAGGGCAGAGTAGAGGGGGAGAGTTGATGTACATTTTGTGTACATTCTTGCGGTTTGTATGACAGGCCTCTAGAGATGGTTCCTGTCTGTGCTCTTCACAAAGCTATTCCAAAAGAAAGATGCTCCAGCTGTCTTTCTCTTCGTAAACTGTGTTCATGATTTCTCCCCCTGGATCCACAAGCCCTCCATTGAGCCTCTGTTCTCTTCCTTCTGAACCACTTGTGGAAATTATTCTTGTATCCCAGCAGTATCATTACACCCTTTACAGACTCACCTCTGTGTTTGCTTTCCGACTCATCACATCATAATGCTTTGCTTGGAACTATTACAGATAAATGTTTTTTCACATCAAGTGTTCCTGGTTATCTCAGAGGTCATCTGCATTCATTTTTAGAGACAAGTTGGTGAAGTTACACTGTGGTGTTCTGACAACATTTCTCTTGTTTCCTTAGTCTCATGCTCCTGCAGGGTAGAATAGTAACATAACAAATGAAGTGGTCCTTTTGGAGCAGACCAAGCTCCATGTAACTGCTTCCTTCTCTGGAGCAGGTGGTAAAGGATAATAGAGAAGAAGAAAAACAGAAAGAGTTGAGTGACTCTACTTCTTGTGTCCAGAATTCTCTTTGCTGCAGCTTTTGAAGGTGTCCTGAGTTGATTGCTTTTGAACTATAATTTTCAGTTACCTGCATGGACCTACACTCCATGAATTGAGCTAATTCTTCCAGATGCCTTTTCATGCGTTTTGTCTCTCTGTAACAATGAATTTGGCAGTTTAATTTTATGTGGTCTATGGGAAGTATTTCCTTTGGTTTCCTTCATACTTGATGAATTTTTGTGATGTTTATCCTTTCTATGAAATGACAGCACTGACAACGGCATCCAGACCCATTTGCTTCTTTTATGCACTTATACGTTGAAGATAATTTTATCACAGAATCGCAGAATAGTTCAGTTTGGTGGGGACCTTAAAGATAATCTAGTTCCAACCCTCTTCATGCGTAGGGCTGTCACTCACCAGATCAGACTGCCCAGGGGCCCATCCAATCTGAATTTGAACACCTCGAGGTTTGTGGCATCCACAGCTTCTGTGAGCATCCTGTGTCAGTGCCTCACAGGCCTCAAAGTATGAATCTTCTCTTCACACGTGTGTGTGGATCCTTTCTTAATGTCTGATGAAAGGATGCATGTTACTTAGGTCCCTTAACTGTTACCAGTCATGACCTTTTTGTTGCTGATGTTGTGGTGTCTGTTGCATTTGATTTGTGGTGAAAAACTTTGTTGTGGTTGTCTCCTTAATGACTCAAAGTTTTGGAAGATGAAGTGTATTTAAGTCATATTTGTGGCTGGTGTAAATCAGCATTGAGCCCTTGAATTCAATTCAATTCAATAAGCCTGGGATGATTTATGCGAAAGTGGTGGCTGCTGTTTCAGAGTGGCTGTTTTCTGAAAGTCTTCCAACTAAATATGACGTATCAGATAAATGGAGAAACAACACATGGTGTGATAAAACCTGAGGCTTTTTTCTGCTTCTCCAGTAGTTCTAAATGGCTTAGAGAAATCAGTGATCCTTGGTTCATTTTCCTTCTCTTTTCTTCAGTTTTATTTTCTTCCCCTTTCTCTGACCACCATTGAGCAATGACGTCTTTCTTTCTGCTGATTGGTCAAAGAAGCATTTGGCTTTATGCTCAACTGCAGTTGACACTTTTTCTTGCATCCATCACTACTAACTCACTAAGAAGTCTTACCAGTTGAGTGTTCTTACAAATAGACAAAAGACCTTATACCCTTTGTTCCCAAATGCACTTCAGTAATTTTTCATCACTCTAGAAAAAAGTTGTGCGTAATGTACCACTGATTTTTAAACTGCATAAATACTGTATTTTCAATAATCCTTGACTGCTTCTCCAGACAATATTCCCCACACAGATATTGTTCCCTAAGTTACACCATCAATCAGAAACCGACAAGCAGTGAGATGTAATTTACTGAGATCAAACAGCATTTTCCAGACTCTGAAGAAGTGTTTTTCCATAGCAGGAGGTAGTGGGTGAAAGAGGCACAAATATTTTTGTGAGAAAGTTGAGCATGTGAGTAGGACCATACCTGTTTCGTGGCCTTCTTAGAGACATCCTCTTTTTCATTATGCCTATTCTTGGAGGAAATGACTGCTTTTACTTTTTCCCTCTACAAATAACATCATATTCTCAGGCTGTTAGTCAGTGATTTACTTTTCACAGCCCCTAGAGAGCGTGAGGCTTTTTGCCTCTCGTTACCATTTGTGTGGATGCTGAGTCAGCCAGCAGACTGTCAGTGGCAGATCCCTTAAAGTACTGACTATCCATGCTACATGTCATCCCCTTTAGAAGGCACACACGCATTTCTCCGTTTATTGCTGGACTGGTCTTTCTGTACAATGCTTGACTACTTTATATGAACCTTCTATGGTGTTGGTGATTGCTACTTTTTAAAGACAACTCTAGAGCATGTTTTAAATGAGCGACTTACATTTTACTCTTTTAATTTTCTGTGATTGAAGTGATGACCATGCTCAGAACCATGTTTTCTTTCTATGAATTTATATGCAGATTTTAGGTCCAGAGTGTAATATTAGGAGCATCTATTCTTACACATTCTATAATGCAGACTGTACAACTTCACTTAATAGCTCTTGCAGCAAGCTCAAAACTATTTTTTAATAAGATCTGTTCCCATAGAAACTTTACAGGAATGCAGTAATACGTATGAAAAATCAACAGGTCAAAAGAAAAAAATTAATTTTGCAGCCAGATTTTTAAAACTTCTGAAACTAGTCTCTGCAACACAAATGGTTATTAAATTCCCAACCACAGATCAGAGATTGTCTTAGACTACATGCAGTCTATTACCCACACTTCAGTTGTAACTTCAGGTTTATGGAGGTTTTGCCAGTTCATATATTCTCAGTATTTTAGCCAGACCATTTCATTAATTTTGTTCTGCTAAGTTAACTGTCTTTTTAGTCATGTTGAAAGGAAGGGGAAATGAGCTAGCAGACCACTGATTTACACTTTCTTTGTTTGTACAAATGATGTAAAATTCTCAGTAAGCTCTTGACATTTGTATATGAGGTCATACCATGTTACAGAGTGTTGCATATCATAATGGACTGACATTTGCTGAATGGCAAAAAACCATCACTCAACTGCCTTGCAATTTGAACATGTTCTAAGTAAAATGGCTTTGCTTCCAACCAGCACAGCTGCTACCCTTCTGCAAACTGGAAAAAAGAGGGAGAAGAAATTACAGAAACCAGTGAGAAATGACAGAAGGATGTTTTCAGAACGCTCTCTTAGATCATGAGGTTATAACATGTACATAATAATTTCTAGATAAAAGAGGAATTTTTTAGTCTACTTTCCAACATTTTTCTTTTCCTTTTTTTTTTTCTGCTACCTTGCTAATTTTTTTCAGAATGAGCAATTAGAAAATAAGGTGTATGAGTGGTTTTTACCAGTCTCTGTGTATACAGATCGTGCTTTAAAGCATGTCTTTGTTTTGCAAGCCAAGCTGAGAGCTATTTGTACAAGAAGTAGAGAAATGAGAATGTGTATATGGCAGGCACGACAGAGTGTCCGACTTATAGAGCCAGCTGCCTTGATCACATTTTTTTCTGTGAAATACTTGGTTTTGGTTTTGGTGGGGCTTTTTCAGGATTGGATCAGTGCCTAGAATTGCCAGGTACCTTCAGTTGACTTTGGATGAGGCCAGTCCTGTCTTAGATTTGTGAAATACCTGCACAAGACCTTAATTCGAGACTTCATGAGGTGTATGCTTAGATCACAACCAGATGCCTAGCTCTGGACCCTATTTCCACTGAATTAAACGTGAGCCTTTGCTTACCAGTGTGAAGGTGTTTTTCAGGTTTGGGACAGCGGCAGAAAAAAAAAAATCAACATTTAAGTAGAAGGATGCAGAGGGGGCACATCATTTTATTTGCAAACACCTTTTATTTGATAACATTGCATTCTCTTAAAGTTAGCACAGAAATCAAACTCATTTTTGTTAATATTTAGCAAATATGCTGAAGAAGGTGGCTTGCATTTAAAATGTTGCTTTAGTTGCGGAATGGAGTTGAATTTTTGTTTTCTCAGTAGTGTCTCAGGATAGTTGGAAGCGTGTAATGCAGCACTGAAGCAGGACTGTGTTTGCAGCTTGAACATAAAACAGGAACCACACAAAGCAAGAGTCTGAAACTCCATCCAAACACAAATGAAAAAAGC